CAAACCAGTGATGGAATAAAGACGGCGTAGGAGAGAGCTCTTGCTTGATGTAGTTTTATACATTTTAGTCTCGAGTGAAATGGAGCAGAAACTACAGCCTTTGCCAGCAACCCTCAGGACTCATCTAGCCATACATCCTCAGACAAAGAGATAAGGCTCTAATATGCTGTAATGAATGCTTGTTGAATCAACTAATACTCTTGATAGTTGTCAGCATAATGAAAGAGGAACATTAGATGTCAGGCTTTCCTTTACAGTTAACTAACTAACCTAAATTACATCACATTTATGTAAATCGCATTTTAACAGTTATGACCTTATCCGATCATATTGCAGTTTGGGCTCTAAAATAGCAACCAAACTGAGGTGTGTGCATCTGATGAGGTTCAAAACTGACCAAATTTAATCAAAGGAAATTGTTGCTGTGTTTGTTTATTTACTGGGTGATAAACATAAATATAACATACATTTTTACTGCTTGGATCAGCAAGCAGTAAAACTGCTTGCTGATCCATTTTTACTGAAAACTGATCTGACAGATAAGTGCATGTACTGAGTTTGAAGAAATGGTGGTAGGCTGTAAGTCACAGGCTACATTTTGACCACTGCATATTCTGAAATAATGAACGAGAGCGAAAGTCTAAATGAAAATTGGTTTTGGCACTCTTCCAGAATCTACATACACAGGATTAAGATTGGGGAGAATGAGTCTGTTTCCCTGGGGGAATCTAAAGAGACTAAGGTCAGATATTGCTGCTGAAAACACCAGTCCACATCTTTCATGCCTTTTATTGTCCATCATAGTTTCATTTATGAGCTTTATGAGATATCTACTCAGTATGTCTATCACAAAACAGTACAAAAATTTGATAACCAAGAAAAAAAAAAATCAAGTTCTGAGCTTTTTAGTTCAGAATACAGAACTAAATCTGAGAGAGAATCTATGCGGTGACATCAAGACTACTGTGGAGAAGAGATGTCCTAACAATCTGTACTCTGACGACTAAGTGGACTAAAACTAGCAGTTGAGGTGATTGGGTTGGGAACATAACATGAAAGAAAGCTGAATACTAACATCTAAAAAAGCTGAATGCTAAAATGAAACCAAAAGGTGGTTTATGAAAGTGTCAGTTTAAGGTTCTTTGCAGTTATGTGTAAAATCTTAAATTTGTGTAAAAAGTGTAAAATCTTATGTGTAAAATCTTAAATTTTACACATAAAATGTTTTATATTTTTTAAAAATGATTCAAGCCATTTTGTGTGAGATTTTGTGTGTTATGTCACACAAAATCTCACCTTTCAGCTGGGGACTGGCTGAAAGGTGGATTGTGGTGGTTAAAAACTTCTTTTAGTTTGTGTCTTTTTTCAGACTTTTATATCCACTATGTCATTCAAAAGAATCCAAAACTGTCTTTAAATAATAAGAGAACTGAAACTGGCTGCAAGTTTGCAGCATCATAGCTGAAGAAATGTGTACTTTCCTTCTCTAGCAGTAGGTGGTCTTTCCTGTCTTGTTTCTTTATCCGCTTTCCATATTTGTTTATGACAGTGTCCCCTGGTCACCACTTCCTCTCTCTGTAGGTGGAGCTCTGGATTCTTGGGAGACTGACTCCACACAGCTGTGGATCATCTATGTACTCATCACCATGCAAGTCCATCTTCTCTGAACTTCCCTCCGCCTCATCAGTTCGTTGTCCCTCGCAGTCTGATTAGACCCTCAGTGTTGTGTTTTGGCTTTTACTTTGTCCTCTCACCTGCTTGTTAACATCATATACATATTATTTTTTCCTGTTCTGTGATTTTCTCTAGAATCTTGTTTCGGAATATTTACCTTGTTTCACAGAGAAGACAGCTTATGCACAAGGAAAAGTGTAAAATGGGGTGAGACATAGCAGATCAAAATAGGAGGCATGTAAAAAACACAACACTTTGCCTGTACAGGTGGAGTTTGGTGGTAAAAATAGTAACTCCACCTAGTTTATGTATCTTTTTTTGCTTTGAACAATGTTAAGGAATCAGTCTGCTTTACTTAATATTATCTTGACAAAAAAGTGGGCAGAGAATTCAAGTCAGGAATCAAACACCATCCAGAAACATAGAGGATTGCCAGCCTCAGTGTGACATGAGCCTGAGTGTTTGCAGTGATTTAATGTGAGCTAGCAGGTAGAAGTCAGCTGAAACATCTACATTTAGTCAAAATGAAAAAAATATATATTTTTTTCATTGTATTAATATTTAATGAATATGTCAGAGTAAATTATCAAATATAACTGGTCTGTAATGGCAGACTACAAATTGTTTTTAAATGGAAAATGGATCATTTGCTTAACTAAAGGAAATACCTCTGACAGGAATAAGAGTGTGTGTTTGCTTATTGGCAGTGCAGACAGAGGCTTCCCCAAAAATCCTATTTATAATCCTATAGACAAAAAACGGATGTACTGAAGTTAAGCCCTTATGAATAAAACACAAACTAATTATTTTAGAAAAGCAAGACTTCATCTGTGCCCATTCACTGTTTCTACATTTTATACAACCACTGCTCAAGAAGAAAAATGTTGGAAAAAAGCTAGTAGATGCCTGTTAAGATTAATTGATCCAGTTTTTCTTGTCAAATTGGTGTATTAAAAATTCAGCAACTTTAGGTTTTAAATATGAATTGCTGATCATTTCTGCAAGTGAAAGGGATGTGAAACTAAAAGCTAGAATTTTGAAGGAGTTTAAGAAAAGGATGAAACTATTATGTGAGTAGCTGTTAATGCTAAGCAACCTTAAAAAAAGAAAAAAAAAATCTTTAAAACTCTCTTAAGTTAAATAAAAAATTTGTACTAATCACAGAGCCTCATTTTGATCTACGATCAGGTTATTTTAAAAAAAAATAGTTTTAAAAATATTTCTTCAAAATATATCAAAGTAATTGTGCTCCCTTATAAAGAAATGTTGATCAACACCCCCCTCTGCTGGCTAGAAATGGGAGTTCTCTACCTATCCTTTGGATAATTAACAAAACGTTGTCATTTGGGTGATGAAGATGATAATAATTTTTTTATGTAACACCAGATTTTCTAAGAACATTTCTATTTGTAATTTTAATTTGTTTACAGTCATTCATTAATTCACTAATTTTAGGATAATTAATTTCCCTGTGATACTTAAAAAATCCTAACATAATAGCTGATTTTTGGGTAATCTCTTAATATTTCTCATTTTTAAAAAAACAAAAACAAAAGACTGTCCTCTGACGAAACAGTGCAAAAAGTTGCAATAGATTCCTCTGAAACACATAACACAATGAAACAAATGTATTTATGTACCATAATCTGAAAAATGTACATAGAGGTATCAGCTTGAAGAGACTTTGAAAATGAGATGAAACATTTATGAATTTGCCTTTCATGACACATGCAAATGAAAACTGATAAAGGTGGATTTGACAGACATGTAGATTCCTTCTGTTTAAAAGCTAACAAAATCCTTGCTTAACAGTAAAGAAAATGACTTATTTTTCTAACTTCAATTGGCTTTTTGTGTGTCAGCACCAAAATCACATTAAGGCTCAAATGGCTATTTTATGATGCCATGATGTACTTTACGAAAGCTTCATAATTTATACAGCCATTAGCGTCTTCTTGGTTTTGCATCAGCTGCTCCACTTCATCCTCCCTCATCTTCTCACCTGAAAGCACCGACACTGTCAGCTCAGTGTGCATCATTGTTACCACCGCCTTATGAAATCTGCTAACTGAGACAATTCCACTCACCAAGGGTTGCCAGCACGTGTCTGAGCTCTGCGCCCATCACTGTACCATTCCCCTCCTTGTCAAACACCCTCAAACCCTCAACAAAGTCTTCAAACGTTCCACGGTCCTTGGCTTTGCAGATGTGTTGGTAAATTGGGAGGAACTGTTCAAAGTCAAGCATCTTGGTCTGCATATCTGTTGAAAGTATTAAGAAAAAAAGTTACTTTTGGTTGATGTTCTATGGTGACCTAAACTTTAATTTGAATCTTTCATGTACAGAGGTTTTCCTGTCAACTTTACAGTAGATGACCAGTTGAACCCAACAGTTGTTGCAATAAATGTTTGTTTTGCATTATATGCTGCTTTATTTTTCTGCACATCTGACATGTTCATCATCAGCTGGTAACTTTCTTTAACAGGTCACTGAGTTCTGAATCCAAAGTTAAAGATCCTAGATACCCTAAAAGCCGGTACCAGGAGAGGATGATCCCTCATCCCCTTTTTGCTGTTTTTATTTTAATTATGTAAAGCACTTTGAAATGCCTTGCTGCTGAAATGTGCTATACAAATTGATTTGATTGATTGATTGATTGATTTCAGGAATGACCTCCAGGCAGACAGAACAACTGCTGGAGCATAAGAGACTCATTGTGTAGCCAGGAGAAACACTAAGGTGGGTAAGTGAGGGCTTCTCGGGAAGTAAACAACTTAATTTCACCCAAAATAGACAATATTTCATGATGTCTTATGGCCATTATTCTGGCACTTACAGATACTTGATAATTGTAAGGGCTTAGGCCAGTTTAATTCTCATAGGAAAGAGCTCCCGATGAATTGTAACTCTCAATCAACAAGCATGACATACAGTACTATGAACTGTTTTCCTCAGTGTATTTTTTTTTAATTAGTTAACAACTAACTCTACAAATTTGACAGTAGAGTTAGATGTTGACTACTGTTTCCTTGTTCATTCTTTATTTCCATTTTTATCAACAAAATTGCAATCATTTTATTCAGTGGGAGGGTGTAATTAATGCTTCAAATCAATTTCATTATTTTGATAAGTCACTGACTGTTTCACTTTAATAACCATTGAAACTGGATGATTTCTCAACATTAAAGATTTAGAAAGTGGCTAATAGATGTAAGAAAAAAAATAATAAATGGCTGCCCTCAATGTAATGAAAAAACTGAAGAAAAAAAAAAAAAAGAATGACTAAAATTGTCATACAACCAACCTTCGGCTTTGGGCTTCCCAAGGACATACATGATCTCTGCATTGGTGGGATTCTGGCCCAAAGCCCTGATCAGGTCACCGCACTGGGCGTAAGTTATTTTCATCTCACTGGCTGGTGTTCGGTCAAACAGCTGGAAAGCATCTTTGAAGTCTGTCAACAAAAAGAATAGCTAACATTCCTTCTGAATTTTTTTTTTTTTTTTTTTCTCATTTTTGTGTCATCTGAGAGCATGTGCAGATCTTTCTGAAGTAATTATCTATAATGGCATGCCTCAGATAAAAGGAAGCGCTGCAGCTTCCCTGAAGGGTTCCACTCTGCTTTGGCTGGCATGCACTTCACATGTTTCTGAGGACACAGACTTGAATAGGAAATAATTCTTTAAAAATAAAAATAGCATATGTTTGATCTGGCGAAACACCAGCTGTTGCAAAATGTTTCTCACTCACTGAGAACTATGCTGCGAGTGCAACCATTTATTCTCTCTATAAATAACCCCAAGCCCATGCAACACAAAGGAAAAAGCAACAGCTCTCTACAGCCTCACCCTCAAGTTGTTCTGGTGTAAATTCCAGCTGGGGAAAAGACAAACCAAACAGAACAATTAGAAGACCCTAATCATTCAGAGCGGCAAATAAAAAGTTCATTGAAAATAAAAAAAATACACAACCTTGGGGACAATTAAGCAGTCTGTTTTCTTTCTTCTGTTTTGAAAAGCAGTTGAGGTCACCTTTCTTGACTATAATCCAGTGGTTTTATGTGACCTTGGAACTACTTCCTCCATCCTTAACAAATTAACTCTGCACTATATACTGCTGGATTCATCACAGCTTATTTTAGGTGCATTTGGTGAGTGTTTTCACTTGACTAAAATGTAAAAGAGATAAAATGACATAGCTAAAAAGGGAACACTTATTTCTGCTCAATGTTCCACATTTGTTTTTTTTCCCCCCACATATTTTATTTAATTATTATTATTATTATTATTATTATTATTATTATTATTATTATTAATCTGTCTATATATTAGAGACAATTCACATATAAGATCATGACAGCATAATAATTTGGAAAAAAAAAGACCTTCCTGATATAAAACAATCAAATCAAATAAAGATAACATTAGAATATCCGACTTTATTAAAAAAATGGTTCTACATTTTTAATCTACTTTATTAACCTTTAAGTGTCTAAACTAAATTGTTGTTTCTCAAAGTGTAAAAATCAATAGAGATATACAATAAAATTAAACACTGTGGTTCAAAATGCAGAACGAGACAAACTTAAACGTTACCATCCTGTGAGACAGGAGGCATCCATTTGTTTCAGCAGTTCATAGTTTACAAGTGACCTTGGATCAGCCCATTGTTACCACTTAGACTCTATACGCTACTGTGGACTTTGTTGAAGCTTATTTTTAGGTGCACTTTGTTTTAATGAAGGGAAAGCGTTATATTTAAAATGCCAAAGTGAAAAAGAAATAACATTTTTTAAAAAAAAAAAAATAATTGAAACTATTCATTTTTTTTTTTTTTTGTCTTTTTGTTATTTTCAGCTTGAGAATGGATTACAATTTCAATTAGATATTCATTTCTAAAAAGAGTGTTTGTACATGTTGATTCATCAAGCCTATGTTTAACGTCTGGATTTCTACAAAACCTCAAACCACAAAGTCTCTGAGAAGCTAAGAGAAAAAAAACAAAAAAACAAAAAAACATCCAAACCTTATCTAAGCATGTTTTAAGATAGATCAAGATGGCTATAATTATCTATATTTTTTCTTTCTTACCAGTTTTCCACCCTTGTTTCCCTGTAACAAATAGTGTGGGTGGTCTGCTATTCGCAGAAATAAGAAAAAAAAGTCATATTTTGTGGCTTTAACCACACTCTATTGTAACATGGCGGCTCGCTCGACCTAAACCAACATTCGTCCTCTCAGAAAGGGGCCAAGTCAGCATAAAGTATATTTTCCATGATGTTTAAAGCACCAGTTAGTTTGCATCTGTACCTAATACTGAGACAGGCTTACAGCTTCCTTCAATAAAATATCCCATTTGGTTTTGTGTGCTTGTAATTTAGAAGACATTCTACAAAGCTGGGGAATGAGAGAGCTAAGGATAATTAGCTGCAGTAAAATGTTGGGCTTGCAGTGCCAAGTTTAGATCACTTGGGGTCTCTGATGTTCGTCAAAAAAAAGAAAATAAAAATTAAGTCAACCGAAAACATTATTATGTCTAAATAGAATAATGTGATTCTATGCTAAATCATCAAATCATTTTTGCATTTCTAATTTAAAATGTTTTACCGTTACTGTTGCTGGGTCAAATTCAGGAGTCTTTGGGCGCTCCGGTTCTGGGGGCTTAGGAGCCGCCGGTGCAGCAGGCTTTGGCTCTTCCTTCTTCTTGGGGGCCATTTCTAGAAGCACTTAGGACTGACTGTGCAACAAAATGCTGGACACTGCAGGCAGAGGTGGGTGATTAGGGCCTCCTTTTATGTTCTGGCCACAGGTGTCACCTCCACCACCCCCTCCGTGCCCAACCAGGCAGCAAACAACAGGCAGAGGACTATAAAAGGATATGGCTTTGTGCTTCTATTTAAGACAAACGTTTGTTGTTCTCCTAGTGTGTCTGTCTCTGTATGTGGGTGTGTGTGCGTGCGTGTGTGTGTGTGTGAATGGAAAACTGCATTAGCTAAAATCCCAGGACAACAACCTTCTATTAAACAGGCTATTTTAATCAGCAGAAGTGAGACCTCATGCATATACACCAATCTTCAACCGCTGACCTTGTTCAGTGAAGTGTGGCAGTTATTAGCGAGGAGGGGATGAAGAAAAAGATAATTGTTGAACACAAACGGAAGGGTTTTTTTTTTAAAGTTCCTTCACCCACAATGAAGCACGACGAATGGCAATTATTCTTGATTACCATTAAAACGTTCAAGTGAGAGAGGGTTATTCACAAGCCTTTATGATAATAGTCGTTTATCTCATATGATCAGAGGGATTTACAGGGCTCAGATTTAAATCCACCTCAAAATAGGGGTCAGAGAATGTTGTTTCTGTCTGATCTTGGCCTTTAGACTGTTAAATAAGTCACATCAGAGCTCAGTGTCAAAATAATAGAAGTTTACATTGTTGTTCTTGTGAAATTGTCATTACCACTCAAATAAAGATGAAGTGTCTGATGTTTTTGTGGTTCACACACATACAAGTAAAAGTAATTCAAGCAAGCATTTAGTTAAAATGCTAATTTACTGGAGTGTTGAGTCATAAGGGTCAAGCTTCTTCTCCATGTTGTCTTCGTAGCTCTTGCGATTTCCAGACTTGACAAGTTCGGGTTAAGATGTTATTTTATGACGGCTACCAGCAACACTTGAAACTGTTCAGATGGACAAGAACTGAATGCAGGACAGTCTTGGAAGAAAAACTTGCAAGGAGCTGCAAAGTCCTGTGACTTGGACAGAGGTTCACCTTTCAGCAGACCTGCAAACCTTAACCAGGCAACGATGCATTGGAAAGGTTCAGATCAAATTATTCTTGGGATGCAACTGCAAATGTCCACACGCAATTTGAGCTGAGGCCCTGTGACAAAACCTGAAACTGCTTTAGTCACAGAGGCTCTTCATTAAAGCTGATATCAGATAGAGCCATAGAATTTTTTTTTTTTATAAATTCCTGAAGTATTCACAAACACTTTCATTTTCATTTTGATAACAGCAACTCATATATAGTTTGATCAGCATTAAATTGCATGCTGTTTTTACCAAGCGAAAAATCTGAAACTTTGTAAAACTCTTCAGCAAGCAAAAGTGTATATGTAGTGATTCATGTACTTTTGTCTTAAACATATCATCTGTAGGAATTCATCTCAATTTACGTTCCTAACGACAGGTAAGGTAAAAGTTCAAGATAATATGCTTATGGATCGAACCCTTCAGCAGGTGACTTCACAGTCGGAATCAGAATGAGAAAGGTTTATTAAATATAAAAATATATAAATATATTTGCACAGCATGCCGCGGTAGCCCTCCTTCTTCTAGGTTGGACATGTTATGTGTTCAGAAGTGGTGTTGTGCTTAATTTGGTTGCAACACATGATCATCTGATCTACTTTTGCCTTTTTATTATATTGAAGACATTTCTGTGCGCACAGTTGCTGCTCACCAAGAACTTTCTTGTGTAACTGACACGCAGACACAGATGGAAGCCTTTCATGAGAATCTGAGCATAAAAAGGGGTTAAGCTTGCGTAGGTCACTGTTAACTCCCTTTTACTGTAGAGAGGGTCCATCACTGACAAGCAGCAGGGGGAATTTACAACACGACCGGCCGCATAATATCAAGATCCTAAAACATCTAAGACCTGTGCAGTTTGCTATTTTAGAGTTGGTCTGTTGTCTAGCTGGTATGTAGCTTGGAGGGCCTCCAACCTGTGGACAAAGCCAATTGTTACTCCGACACATTAGATGACCTTGAGTGCAGATGAAAGAAGAGTGGATAAATACATTGCTGTTAAATGACAACCTCAAAATAGCATAGGGGTTCTTCTAAAGTCTCTTCTGAAATGTAATAGTGTTGCCTTTGAGAGAAAATCTCAATGTGAATATATATGACTTTTGAACAATAGCATCTGTAAATGTCTGAATCTGCTATAGGAGCAGCCATGGGAAGAAAAATAATGGGCAGAGAAGAGGGGAGAAACTTCAGGCAGAAAAATTCAGTTGGAAAGTTTTAATGCAGGTTATGAATATTGATTCAAAACTTCAACATTCTCTCATATTAAAAAAAAAAAAAAAGATCATGTGGATCCTGAGTGATACAGTTCCATAGAAACCCTTCACAAAAACTGAGGTTACAGGGTACCCATATCAGTCTTAACATTTGTGCAGTAGTTGAGGCACCTGATGAATTCCTGTTTGATGTGTTTAGCGTGTCGTTAGCTGCACAAGTTAGTAAGTGCGCCGTAGTGAGAGAGCATGTAATTAAACTGTCACCTATCCAACTTAGACTTATTGTAGGATGCAGTTCGCAAAGCTTAGGCAGAACCCATGCCAGTTTGAAGGGGCTTAAGTTTAACACAGACTTTGACGCAGTGTTTCTTGGCAGGAATTAATTTTGTAGAATTGATGTGCTTAAACAAATTTGGGGGTCGGGGGTGGGGGTGTGGGATGGCGGATAATATGAGCCTTGGAAGAAGATACTGTTGAAAGAAATTACAGATGGATGATCCTGAAGTCGGTGCTTATATTTCTGCAACGTTCGACTGTGCCCCTGCTTCAACACACCTGACCCTGAATATTAGGACATTAGCAGAGCTACACAGATTACATACTGAGGAGGAAATTTACCTATTTGAGTCAGGTTTGTGGGACCAAGGACACATCCAAAAGTTGCAGGACACCAGCCCTTGATGAGTGGACTTCAAGACTTTTCCACTGAAAAGAATCTAAAGTATAGAACTATAAGCTTCGACATCATTTCATCAACCATCAATAATTTATCTTGAGGCCCCTGATGACTGGAGTTTGAGTTCCTAGTTGAGAGTCTGATCTTTATTTGGTCATTTGTAGTTCCAAATCTTGCATATTAACATTGAACATACCTCAAATTAAGTATTACTTACTTCTTTATTTATGATTTATGAAATCATGAAATCATTTATCTATTTGTTCAAACACACACACAAAAAAACTGCATTCTCTGTCTATCACAATTTATTATTATTTGTCCTGCAGAATGCCATCATTGGGGAAAGAGATGCCTGTTTGGATGTGGGGTGTCAGAAGGAGATGCTGTCCATTCATGTAAGACCCGCCTCTGATGGTGACTGCAGTACCAGAAACATTTGCATGTTCTAAATATGGTTTTTCTGAGCAGCCTTCCGCAAACTTCCATCAAAAAGTGTATCTCCTGTGTTATTAAAACCTACACAGTTTTCCAGAGTCAAATATAGCATTCTAAGAAATAAAATGAAACAGGCTTCATCAATACTTACTCAGGATACCAGCCTTCTGATCCTTGTTAAACCTTGTAAGCATCTGTGCTGTCTAGCAGCCGGAACAACAGCTGAGTCATGCCGCCCTCCCTTGGTCACAAATTAACTATGAACCCTGAGAACTGTCGTTCTGCCCAAGAGATCTAATTTAAGGTTGTTCTTTTTCTCCCTAAATGTGAATAGTGATTCAGCTTTGGACAAATGAATATGATTGGATACCCTGTTGAATCACAATTTTTATAACATCTTCAAGACTGTACTAATGTTTAATATCAACCTAATTTTATTTTGTTCATGGGCTCCAACACTTGTTCTGATTTCTTTAAATCAGTGCTAAGGCTAACACTGTGCAAAAGTAACATGGAAATAAGGGTAATGAAAATTGGAAAAATCGATGTTTTCCTCTGTTGAGCAGTATTTCATAATGGATAGGTACTATCTAGGAAAGTTTCCTGAATCAAAAAAAAAATAATAATAATAATAATAAACTACTTAGAGCTTTCTGTGAACATCGCTCTCTGTTGTACTCTCAGCTCTGTCATATATCAGTGCACAGTACCTGGTGAATAAATGACATAACTTTGCAGATTGCTCAAAGTTGCTCCGTAGCTCTGTAGCTCATAGTGTTTGGAGAACACTAACAGTGTTTTATCATAACCGTATGTCTGCACACAGATGAGTTTGTTAAACGCTAAACAAACAATAATTAGACAAACCTTCAGGTTCATTCATTGTCTTTAAACAAAGAGATGGACCTTTGTTTAATTTTCAGCTATTGTTTGTCGATCTTCTCAGAAAATGTTATTCCATGTAACGTATAAAATGTTTGTCAATATTCCGGCACAAGCAACGAGAATGACCAAATTATCTCCAAGTTATTACTCAGCAGACGACTTAGGCAATCAAAAACGACCACTCCTGTTAATTATGGAAAAAAAGAATGGAGAAAATATTCACTTGCTACTTGAGGGAAATTCAAATAAAAGAATTCCCAAAATTTATTTTTGAGATAATCTAATGATTTAATTAAATAATAGCAATGGCATTAATGGACTAGAAAGCCATAGTTGAAGTTTGTTGATGATCTTTGTTCCTTTATTTTATTTCTGCAGCATCTGAGGTGATATGTCTAAACAACACAAGGTTTTTAAGAAGAATATGCGAGTTGACCTGAATCCAGCTGAAAATAGCTCCCCAGGAGGTTTAATTTGGAACTTGCTCTGAGACAAAGGACAGACATTGACCATAACGTTCATGACATTTCCACACTATAAATCAGAAAGAGAGTAAATGGAAAAGAAAAAATGAGGAAGGAAGAAAAAAATCATCTTAAATGAAATGACCTCATTTTGGCAGAGGGTAAAAGTTAGGACAGGCTAATCTGATGAGACAACGTCTCTAATAACACTGTAATTAATTTAGTTGTTTGGATTATAAGAAATATAAACCTGCTCAGATAAATAAAATGCAAATGTGAAAAATAAGCAAATTTTTAATAATTATATATATATATATATATATATATATATATATATATATATATATATATATATATATATATATATATATATATATATATATTGCCAATTATGCACATCCGGGGAATTGGTCCCAAATACATGCATGCATGAATCTGCATGAAATTTAGTTTATGATAACAGCTTTTCAGACAATTTCTAGGAAAATCATCCTTACCTGACACAAATGGGTCAGGCAATAATCCTCTCGTTCACTAGTACAAGTGTTTAAATGTGTCTCTTCGTAATAAGCTCTGATCTGGTTTGTTGCCTGTCACAGATATAAACTGCCAACCAGCTGAAACAGAACAATGATAAATGATATAAGAAAGATGACAAATAATAGTGTATGAGACAGATAGAGATATATGGACTGCTGTCAGTGCAGTGCATGGTTCCTTACAGTGAAGACAGTTTGGGGGGATGGATATTAATCATGCCAGATAGATGTCAAAGATCAGAAGCGTTTTGACTGTAAAAAAAAAAAAAAAAAAAAATGGGCTGGATGGGGCTGCAGTAATTAGCTTAAAGGCACATTTAGCCGTTTAGGAAGACCTTTCAAAAGCAAGAAAAAAGAAGAAGGCAGACCCCAATCAAAAAATAAATTAATAAATAGGTGATGTCATGAACACAATTTCTCTCTAATTATTTGAGTGCTATTTCAACTTTTTAACAGAGGAATTTTGGATCATGCATCTTCTGCATGGAACAGTCAATCACATCTTTGAACTATTTGCACAACATGCCAAGTACCTTATGAAAAAAGCTCTCCAAATAAAATACCTGAGAATCAATTCACACCCCTGAATGAGAAAAAGGTGATGAAACTGTCCACAGATGATATGAGGACATTGAACAGACTAAACACATGCAAAGATGTTGGACCCAAAGATATTTTGGGTCATACATTGAAATCTTCTTTTGCCGAGTAAGCAAAAGCTGCAAATATCTTTGCCATCTCTCACCAGCACAGTTTGTCCTGCTTTTTATTAGAAAGTGAGTTTAACAACTTGTCATGAGCCACATTAAGCTCGCCTAACACCTTCTCTGACCTTCTACTTTTGCATATCAGCACACAGTGTACTAAAACCGAGACACACAGCAACACAGTCAATCAAATTAAAACAGGCATCCCTCAGGGGTACTTAGTCTGTGCTCTCCAAATATGTTACTAAACTCAATGATTCAGTACAAAACATCTTTTAAAGTTTCTATTGACACAGTTGGGGCTCAGCTATAAACACTAAAACACATTTTAGAGGTTGGCAGTTGGATTAAAGAGCCAAGAAAAGAAAAAGCATCTTGGGCACTTCAGGCAAAAAAAAAATATAAATCATCCTCACAATTTTCCTGTTGGACTGAGATTTCTGAGCTATTTAAGCCCCTTCAGAATAGTACTGTTTTTTTCAGTCAGATTTCTCAGCTCCTCCTTGACATTAGTAAAATATTATGTGCATTTCCCATGAAACAATTCATACAAACAGTAAATCACAATGCATGACCTACAGAAGCCAGTCTCTTTCACAAAATCCTCAGTTCATCTCTCCAGAGTGAATACCTGTGTCAACGAACATGTCAGTGTCATTTGAACGACAAATCATTGTGTCATTGTGAACAGATAAGACAGTCAATTTGCTTAGTCATGTTCTTAATATAACAGCGTACTCTGCAGGGATATTTTGATTAAATCTATGGCTAAAGTTTTGATGACAATCATGGCAAGTTGTGAGAGATTATGTAAAGGCAAGATTTATATTTACCCTTTTAACGTGTGCATTGTACTGTAAAAGACAGCAGTGTAGAGCAATAAAGAATAAATAAATAATATGAATACAAGCGATTGGAAAATATGCCATTTATTGTTACTTTTTTTTATTCAGTTATTTTCTGAACATAAAATCATTCTATTGTGGCTCTGGATATATGTCAAGTCGTCATCTGCCTCAGCTATATCTTTTACAGCTTTTGACTAATTTTTGATTTGATTTTTTGATTATTCATTTTTACCTCCATTTATCTTTCCATGAGCTCTGACTGGTCTTCATTACAGAAATGAATCCCCCCAGGATGATCCTGCCACTGCCATTGTGGGAATGGTGACAAGCGCACAGCATTATGCAGAGTTCTCTTCTGACCAGAGCACCTCTATATAATCCAGGGGTGTCAAACTCCAGTCCTCAAGGGCCGCTGTCCTGCAGTGTTTAGATGTGCCACAGGTAAAAAACAGTGGAATGAAATGGCTTAATTACCTCCTCCCTGTGTAGATCGGTTCTCCTGAGCCTTGCTAATGACCTAATTATTCTTTTCAGGTGTGGTGTAGCATAGGCACATCTAAAAGTTGCAGGACAGCGGCCCTTGAGGACTGGAGTTTGACACCCCTGATATAATCCTTTTTAAAAGCACACTCTGGTTTTTCAAGCTATAATTTCTAGCCCAGAATCAAGCAGTTTACGAACCCGTCAGTTTACGGCACTTTTGGTTCTACATGGTGGAGGACAGATCTAACAGCCATGTTCTCTCTCTGTTTTTGGACAATGGATCAAACAGTTCACGAACGTTCTCTGTTGCTCTTGTGTAGAGCATTTATACCCTTCCTATATTTGCTAAGTGCTTAAATACTACTGGCATTTAATAATTTGGTGTATTATAAATGAAGTAGGCTGTACTGGATTTTATTAAAGGGTATAAGAATAAAAGAAGATGATTTCATATCCGTAATACACTTCTTTTTAGAATTGTATTTAACTTATGAAACAGACTTAATTAAGGTTAAGTTTGGCCAACTGAACTTTCCACAATTGCATTGTACTGTAACAAGCGATGAGTGACTTTAAAATATTAAAAGTAAATTATTATTATTTTTTTTTATTTAATTCATAAACTTAAAATGTTGTTACAGTCCTTACACCCATTAGAATTCACCATCATATGGCGCTTCATCCGCTGCATTATGTTACTGTAACCCAATCCAACTGGATGCAACTTTTGAGAGACTGCAGGGGGAAAAAGCGGTTTGGCAACGGCCCTGCGATCTGTTGAATGTGGAGTTTGTTTTAGGAGTGAGAAAATATGTCATTTGGGGAGTCGTGGTTTATTCCAACGTAAGAGCGAGCGCACCAATAAGCGGCTTTCACGCTCCACCCTACCTGCCTCCTTCCAGCCCCCACCCTGCTTCCCCTTTTCCATCCACATACTCACTACTGAGCACGACCTGCCGCTTTGCCACATCTGGACTGGAGACGCTTCCCAACACGAGAAACTTCAACTTTTTCTTTTTTCTTTTGCTTTGACTCTGCGCAAAAAAAACCCAAACATCAACAACAACAACAACAAAAAACATAACAATCACTCAGGCGTTTTTGCGAATTATCAGTCCGTTAAGGTGATTTCTTTTCTCTCTCGATAGTAAGTAAAGATTGTTGAGTCTAAGCTGGCGTTTCTGTCTCGTCTTAGGTAAACAGAGTCTCGTTTGGGAGTTTCATACATTCAGTTTTCTGTTAGATTGCCACGCTTTTATTTAGTGCGCTACACGTTTTCAGCGAGTGACACATGATCTGCAGCGTTTTGGTGGGGAAGAAATGAAGGATAGCGAAACTCTGTCTATGAAGTCTAAACACGCAGATTAAACACATTTATATTAGCAGTTGTAAATTTCACTCTCCGCTCTTGTCATAATATTGTTAATGTTTACTTTTAAATGTGAAAAGTGGAGCCTGTCTGTGATCAGTGCGCTGAATGAATGCGTTGATGGTGACATGAGTCAAACGGAGTGAAGTTGTGAAATTCAGCAGACTCTGGTGATGGAGTGAGACAGTTTGAGGTTTTATTTTATTTTATTTTATTTTTTTAAAGAATCATATTTATTTATTTATATTTGTGTCTGATCCGGGAAGGGAAACTGGAAGAAACCAGTAGGCACAGAGCTCCATACTGAAGTGTTTAAGTTAGTCTGCGGGGAAATTTAAAAAGACCTAAAAATACAGCGTTGGTTTCTTCCCTACAAAGAATCATTTGAACTTCCCACCGCAGAGAGAGAGAGCGACATAAATAGTTCTGACATGTGGATGTAATTTCAGAAGTAAAAAAAAAAAAAAAAAAAAAAAAAAAAAAAAGACAGATGCGCAGAAATAAAGCGAGCGGGCTGAACCGGACCGTATAGTAGATTATAGGAAATTAAATCGAGGGCAGAGCGGGCGATTAGAGTTATGATTTCACAAGCCGCCAGGAGCGTCGAAGGGCCAGATGGAGTGAAAAGACGCATCACGCTCCACTTTGAAGAGAGTTAAGTCTATTAAATAATTGCTTTCTGAGCTCCATCAGCTGTGTGTTTGAATGACTCTTGGAGGTAGAGTTGCCTCAGGGTCAGGGATGGGATCTTCTCTGCAACTCCATAATCTGGACTTTCTTCTCATCTCACTCCTCAGCAGCCTTTGCCTGGTAAGTCATTCATTTACTGTCTGCAGCGCAGTTAGCGTCATTTCGCTGTGATGTTGCACATGTGAAGCGTGGAGGTCCAGATGTGCTTCCTCTGCGCAGTGACAGCTTGTCAAACACAGAGAAGGCAAAGTATCAGCAATTGCGATTCTCTCCGCATGTGTTTTGCATTGGGAATATTGAGGAGCATTTAACTAGATTTTAGGGAAGGGTTAATTAGGCAACCCCAAGCGCTGCTGGTGTTGTCATTGGTCTTAATTTCTAATAAATCTCCCCATTATGATTAGGAGTCTAGTAAAACTTTTTCCTCCAAAATTAGAAAAAAAGGAAATTGACTTTTTGCTCAAATGACTTCAGTGTCATTTACCAAGTCTGTGCTGCATGTCATTGTTGTTGACATACAAAAATATTCCTTCCAAACAATGGACATTTATTTCACATTTATATACCATTTTTTACCAGTGTCCAGATGTGGGTTTTAGTGACTGGGGACTTCTGAACTAAAACTGTATTATACAAATTTCTCTCACACATGCAAATTGCAGTAGAATAATAGGTTAGGGTGTATAGACCTTCTGCTTGTGAAAAACTATTTTTCCAGAGCACCTTTGAATTTGTATAAAGCATCACTTCGAAAAATATAGTCACCCATACAAAGCAACACACAAAATGTAAAGGTGTGCCAGCTATGGATGTCGCGATGTAACACAGACTGATAAATAAAGAAAGCACGGAGGAAATGGTTAAAACATGCTGTTGTTACACTGTTTTATTTATTGTTTTTAGATAGATGCCTGTTGGTAATTTATATGAAAATCAAATACATTAAAACACAGTCCTATATGCAATAATGTGTTTTCTTTTCAAATAAAATGCAGAATGAAAATTTTTAATTATTGCTCTTGCAAAGGTCCAGCCAAGCCACGTATGAGCTTATCTTCTTTCTTTTTTTTTAATACATTGTGGCAGTACTTGTTTAGGATATTCTGAAATTTCATGTGTAATTTAATTCAGTTGCATGTTTTTTTTTTTTTTTTTTTTTTTTTTTTTTAAAAATTTCCAACCCCCCAACCCCACTTTTTTTTTTTTTAAGATTTTTTAAAGCTTAGGGCAACCCAAAAGGTT